AAGAACATGCAGACTCCACACAGAAAGGCCTCGGGTCGGCCAAGGCTCGAACCTGGAACCTTCCTGCTGTGAGGCAACAGCACTGCAGCAGATCCAACTGTAACACAACACTACTATTATCATCCTGTAATGTTGTTCAGACAAATGTTAGCAGACACAGGCAGCAGTTTCCATTTCTGTCCATCCAGCAAAAACTGTTCAGTTTTCACTCTTTTTAGCTCTTATTCTGCAGGTTCCACATTATTCACTAGTTAAGTTGCCTTTCCACCACAAAGTTCCTGGTACCTTTTGTTCCCCAAGAAATTCAAGAACTTTCCCTGGGTCAGAGGTCCGTGAACACATTGCGATTCAGGTCAAAAGCCCTGAGAAGATAAAAAAAAAATTAGCCCACTGACAAAGCAAATGTGCGATGGTCAGCTGCAGGGTTTTAAGAATACCGTGTGTAAAATGTTACAGGGTATTTGACCAGTCATCAAAGTTCTGCACTGCAGCCCTGATAGTTCCTGGACCTTCAGAAAGAACTACACCCCAGAACTAAATGGAGACTCTGGTTCCTCTGTTGGAAATGCAGGTAGAGGAATTAAATCCCCTTTTCCACCTTAGGAATTTTCCCAGGGCAACAGGAACCTTTTGCGTAACTCTTAAAACCTGGCTCCCGACCATCACACTTCTGTCAGTGGGCTAATTTGTTAAATTTTCAGCAGAGTCTTGAAACTCAGTTAAGTTGTGTAATCCATACAACACTGTGTCCTTGAAATGATGTTTATATACAAATAATTCACGTAATTTGCAGCAGCAAATACATTTTGAGGGAAATGAACAGTTGACCAGATAATGTTTTCTAATTGATTTATTTATGTTGGCACTGAATGTATCAGATCACTGTTTTCTACCAAAATATCCAGTCCTTCAGAACAGTATTAATTTGTAGTGATTTCCAGTTTTACAAAACTTTTTCTGGTTGTGTTTAGACACTCAGCACTCGGTTACAGTTAAGGAAAGATTGTGGTCTAGTTTAATCTAGAAAAAAGTCACAGTGACTTTAACTACGACATTTATTAACTTTTAACTAAAACATCCACAAAGTGCTTTTGTTTATTACATAACGTAACTGAGGAAACTGTTTAGTAAACTGTAAAAATAGTTTCCAGGAGAGGGATGATCCATCACACAAACATGGAGCCTGGATTTAGTTTGGTCATTCTGAGGTAATGGAGCACAGCTGCGTTATTGTGCAGTTAAACGCTGATAAAACTCAACTGCATGAACACTGGATTACACTAATCAGTGACATTTTTAAGATTCTGCCAGTTGATTAATTGTAGAAAAAATACAACCAGATACTGCTTCTGAAACAGGATTGTCTGCACCCGAAAGCAGTCAGCAAAAGCATTACAGAGAAGTTAAAGTTCATGTGTAGTTGAGGAACTAAAGCCACGGTCCATTAGTTAAACTAAAGTCTGTGAAAATCAGCAGGCCTGTCAGGATAATGCCTTTCTTGCCTTTTCAGTCCGTGTGGCCTCCCTTGTTGCTCTGATATGAACTCCCCCATGTAAGGCCAGGATGGGGGCTGAGGGCTCTGAAGGGAAGGGCTGCTCAGCTAAGTGTGGGGGAGATGTGTATCGTTTAATTGGACAGGGCAGCTACTGACCTGGGACTGAGCCAAAAGCCAACTCCGTGTCTCCGACCCAGGGAGAGATAAAAGACAAACCAGCCAGAGAGAGGCCAAGAACAGAGACGAGGGCAGGGCAAAGGAAACAGAGAAGATTGATGAAACTCCCCAGCTATATTAGAACTTTTTTCTTTGGACTGTAGTAATGAAAATTACATTCATCACAAAGCAGACACATAAAGGTATACCACACCGTGTCCGGTTGCAAAGCAGTTCCAGGAAGCATTTCAAGATGGGGATGTTCCAGGAATCACTAGTACTTCTCAGAAAAAGCGCTTGACCTGTGTGGAGTCAGAGGGGGAGCAGGCAGCAAATCTTTAGGTTTGCCTTGCTGTGTTTGCAATGAGGTAAAGAAGGAGACGAGGCAGCTAGAAAAGCTAACACAACAGAGACTCGACATGAGGCTCAGTGGAGGTCTTATCTGGCAGCACTCAGAAGTGGCTCATTTAGACTTGCCTATAATTCCTTTTGACTCAGCGTTAGTATTCAAAAAACATTTGGTCTCAGACTGTAGCCAAGTGAGGCAGTAGATCATACATGGGGTCTACTCTGCTGTCAGAGCCGGCTGTTTGCTCCGGAAATGTCTCAAGCTCATCTATGAGGTCAGGATAATTCCCTGACTGATCTCAAGCCTGATCACACACGCTGATGCCAAATCTGTGAAGCTGGGTGTTGTGGACTTTGTACTGTGTGGCAAAGCTATGAACATGTGCTGGAATATTTCACTCACCATAAACATGAAGCTCCTTTGACAGAAAAATCCCGATCTGAAGTCTACTTCACTTAGCTGGCTCACAGTCAAGAATCCAATAAAACAACTCGACAACAGACAATGAGCACTTGGTAGTGGTTTACGGCTGGCAAACTGAACTGGTTGGACATAGATCATAAAGGACACACACCTGTGTATGTCCAGAGATTGAAGGACCTTGAAGGATGGACATCTCAGCCTAAGGTCTATTTTGTGTGGTACAACCCTTTGTATGTGTGTGTGCCAGTGTCAGCTGTGGCCAGGGGCATTATGTTGTCAGGTTGTTTGTCTGGATGCCATATTTCAGGAACACTTCGATGGAATTTGTTCAAATTTGCCTCCAACATCCGCTTAGGCTCAAGATAATTTAGTGATAGATATATTTTCACATAGTAAACACATTCTAGGTTAAACCTGAACTTACAAAAACTGATGCCACCTTATATTTATTCCAGTTGAACTCTTTTATAGATTATTACTGAAATAAGTCGTCATATAAAGGTGATACTGGTTCTGAGCAGCTTTTTTGGGATCCCTCCCAGAGATTGTGGGCGTTAATAAGACAGTTTGGGTGGAGCTATGAAGCAAGGGAATAAGTGATACAGGCTGGATGGGGTGGCGTTCCTGACCGTGGCTCCTGAATATGATAAAGACGACATGTCAATTTTCTTTCAGCTACTTCTCCAACACCTCTGCTGTATCAACATCTGCATCTACACTTGTGTTTATGATAAAGGGTGATGTCTCCTACCAACTGACAGGTGTTGTTTTTTCTCTCTGCGTCTCCAGGAAGCTGACTCTCTGCCAGGCCCTGACCTTTGTGCTGCTGCTGGTCACTCCCGTCTGCCTGTCGTCCCAAAAGAGTGTAAGTCCAGCCTGCAAACATCAACACAAAATGCCTCTGCGCAGTTGCGGTGCTTCAGCCACAGCGATGTCTGAAGCCTCGGCATGAGGGGAGCAGTTAGACCTGGAGCTGGTTCACATAATGATTGACCGTTGTGAGGTCACAGTCCTGACATCTCTGGTTGGTTAGAAGGGCAGGTCTCACTAAGAACTTTAGCAGACAGTGTCTGAGCACTGGTGCCAAACTCTTTACTGAGTCTGGGTCACAGAAGCCTGTGACGCATATTTTAACTGAACAGTGTTAGAAAAATGTTCCATACTGTAGCTTTAACGTGACTAAATTTTTATAATACAACTTCACATAATCTTTAAAGAAGGGCCATTGTACAGAGCAGGTCAGTCAGCAGCCATAAACTCAACCTTAGCATTATGTTGTGCAAATATACAAAGCTATTAGCTGGATGTTGTTACAACAAGTGGCGCTGGATTTCTCTGATGCTGCTTTGTCTTGGAAATGACACTGTTCTATAATCTGGCATCCTCTCGGTCTCTCCATGCTCTGGTTGTTGCTCCACCACCTTCTCCTCCGAGCATAGCATCCATCTGTCATCTGTTTCTCTGGTTTTCAGGCAGACCCCTCCCTCCCCCCAACCTTCCCCCAGGCTCGGCCGGAATAACCAGACATAGATGGAGAGGCTGTACACACAGCCAGTCAGAGTTCAGTCACGTCAGACACTGGAATGTAGCGGACGTTTGACACCCGTGACATCTGATTGTCATTGTCTGTCAGCTTTTAGGAAAAGTCGCTGGTGTTATTTAAAACGAAACAAACTTACATAATTTTGAGACACGGTTTTAGATGTTTTAGATTAGTGGACGAGTTTGTGCGTTCAGTCATCACTGCAGCTGCACTGGCAAAGCTTGTGTTGTCAACATTTGGTCAGTTAAGGATGAGAACAAGACAAACAGACCAAATGGATCAAAAATATACAAACAGACTAAGAGCTGTGACCATGTCAGCCTTTGGACATGTTTCTCCATTGATTACCAAAGGCTATGACCTCATTTTATTGGCTGTATTTTTACTGTATATAAATGTACCAGTAGTCAAGCCAGCTTTATTTATGTAGCCCAAAATCACAAATCTGCCTCAGACTGCTTCCCAGCAGTAGAGTGACATATTGTACTGTAGCAGCACTGCTATTAAAATGTAAAATGGTAGCAAGCCCTGCAGACAATCATGAGATACAGCTGTATGCAAACCTCTGGGCACTACTGGGCCCCAACACGTGGAAAGAGGCAAATACAGTGCCTGCAGCAAACAGACATTAAAATGAACTTTAATTCAAATGTTACTCCACTGTCACTTCTTATGTCAGGAACTTAAAATATATTTAAAAAACAAATAAACAAACAGTAATGGTGCCATGTGCAAACATTTGGATAACCTGCGAACTCCCCTTTGGCAGCTTAGATACACTTTTTATTGCCAGCCATGAGTGTTTCTATTCCTGATTTATGGAGCTTCACCCCCTCCTTCTGCAGATATTTTAGGCCGTCTCGCAGGCACAGCATGTTCAGACTCTACCCACAGTGACGTTCAGGGCAGGGAACCGAAGCATCCTGAAGGAGTTCCTGGTGGATTTTGAGTTTTCCTTTGGATCATAGTCCAGATGGAAAAGCACTCTCACTTCCTTGACTGACTACATACAGTATGCATGTCACATTCAGGGAACCAAAATGAGGCTTATCATGGATCAATGAGCAAACATTAAGGATGAGTGCACAACCATGAATAGCAGCAACAAAGTGACTGTAAAATTTGACATGTACAAACACCCCACTGTTTTAAGCATTTGAGTGACACTCTCACAGTAGCAGCAACATCTTGAATATGAACAAGGTCCAATTTTCTTGTAGCAAATTTGACATGTTGGTGGAACATTTGTATGATTGAAGTCACCAGAGGTGATGAAAGAGTCTGTCAGGGCTGATCACTCTGCAGCTCTCAGGCAATTTGCTACAGCAAGCAGCCGTGGACCAGTTGTCGCCTTGTTGCCATCGAGGTGTGGAGTTTTTGCAGCCATGTCTGTCAGCTCCACACATCTCTACAGACTGGGAGAGCTGGTCTGCTGACTAGCATAATGGGAAGTCAGACAACATTACACTTAAGGAACCTACTTACCTGCATGTTCAGACTCTGACTCCTCACCTTCACCTTTAAGTTGTCCCTTTTCTCCTGCCCTCTCTTACTGCAGGCAGTTTGCTTTCCAAGCACAAGAGAGTCGTGTTCATGTGAGGGAGGGAGCTCAAGGTCGTTTTCATTAGTCTAGACCCAGCCCATCTCCAACTGTTATCACTGCTAATTTGACCAGCTGCTATCTCGAATGAGGGCAGCCTCAGGTGACCCTGCCATGGAAGGACATGGAGAGTCAGAGAACAGATCACTCTCAGCTGTGTGTGTGTTGTTGTATGACCAGGGGTGTGAGGGCCAGTTTGATTTCAGACTTCAGTGAGGACATTTTGGCTGGTCCTCAGACCTTCAGGGTTCAGACTTAGTTTTAGGGTTGAGGTTGGAATTAGATTTAGGTTTGGGGTAGACATTTCATTGTGATGGCTAAAGGTACATCAACTAATTTCTACATGATTTGGTCACAATACCACATAAACAGTTCTAATGTTTCATGCCCTTATTAAACCCGGCCACTGAACATTCAAAGTGCAGATGGAAAAACAAATTGAACCCTTTGATTCAATAACTGAAAGAAACTCCTTTGGCAACATTAACCTCCAACC